GGAAACACGCTTAGCACGCCGTTCACCTGAGGAGGAAACACGCCTAGCTCAGACAACCGGTGTCAACAGAAAAAAATATCTAGTTTCTGCCCCGATATGAGAGCAGATGTTTACTTTCAGAACTCCATCCTGTTCGTCTAATCCATGAATTTAGACTGGAGTCGGAGTTTGAATTATTTGTGTTTGAACGCTGAGTGCTTTAACATCCTGAGACCCTAGCTTTTATTTGGTGGGCTTTTTTTGCCTCTGGGATTAGTAGGACCTAATAAGTTTAAAAACTAGACTTTGTCATGGTACAGGTAGTTTTTCTTCGTAAAGGCTCAGTATCTTTATATTTAAAATGTTTGTCTATATATTTACTTAAATGTGTTTGCAAATTTGGTTCTGATGGTCTGCAAACTACAAACCAGCAGGAGGTGGAAGCCTTGGAACATACCATTGTTCCTAAAACTGAAGGAAGGGAACTTTATTTTTTTTAAGTTGACCTTAGATATTTTGTCATGATAATATTATTTTTTGTATTAAGTTAAAGATAATTTTGCTTTATTTGATAGTTTCGTGTTTTTGGTTTGTTGTACCTCTATTACGTTGTTCCTCCCTCATATGGGAAGTAATTCCACCCCTATTTAAGCAGCCTTGTGTTTTGTTACTGTTCAGTTGAACTCAGTTGAGTGTGGCCCAAATCTAAGTTACTTATTATCTGAGTTATTTTGTATTGACATTGGACCCGTTTTGATATTATGAAATCAAAGAAGTTAAAGTTAATAAATCATAGAAGTTTTTCTCATTTTTGGAACACCCTTTGTCCTTGTTTAAATCTGGTCCCTTACAGTTGGTGTCAGAAGTGGGATCCAATCAGGAAAGGACACTGGTGTTTTCTTTTTTTTCCCCTTCTTATTTCGAACATTTTTGCATTAACTGCCTTTGATTTTTTTTGGCCTTCTCCTTTCTAAGAGAGAGCCTCCTCTCTAAGCACTGCTTTGGATGCCATCATTTGTTTACAGCCAGACGGCTATAAGTCTGTTTTTGTGTATGTTTATGCATTATCTCGATGTGTCCATATGATGCACCCCTCCTGAGTCTGAGTTTAAATGGAAAAAAAGAACATTGAACATTTACTGTTGCTTTAACATTACAAGTGTTTCATTTGATCCAGGGAATTTACAAAGTAATAAACTATAGCAGTCGATTCCCATATTTGAGTGACATTTTTCAGAATAAGCTCTAGAATTGAGTTTAGGTATGACATTCCTTTTACCCTAAAGTGTTACCAACTGTCTGTAAAAAAACGACTGTATGTAGTTGTTATTGCTCCAAAGAAAAAAAAAAGGAGTAAAGAAATATCTGCCTGTGCTTTCTTCTAAGCGTAGATGTTAAAGTGTTAAGTCCCACATATGCCTCAAAAGCACCTACGAACCAGCATCGAGAGTATAAACTCTGGTTTGACCAGAATGATCAGGTTATTTCCAAAACAACTGATGTATAGGGAACCGTGTATAGGACACAGACGTCTTTCCAGGAAATATGTTGATGAGCTTGGAAATCATAAAACGGATGATCCAAATGTGTTGGTATGAGTAGCAAAAAACAGATCAGCTCACTCCTGAGAAAGCTGTGGATGCTGGATGTGTGTTCCCATCAGAGGGGCTGGATTTGAAATTCTTCTTACACTTAATCCCATAGCAGCCGTCTTAAAAGGTTTCCAAATTTTTCTTTTTGTCAAAATTCAGCCGTGCAAAACGCCCTTGAGTACACTCTGAAAAGTGAAAAATAAGGGCAGTGGGACCTCTTTTTTTTTGCTTTGTCTTACCAGCCAATTCACATTTGTGTATAGATTCATTCATTTTACGCAGCTCCCTTCATAGGCTTTGTCTTTTGTCAATAATACAAACAAAAACAAAAAAAGAAATCTAATTACATATAAGCTAATGATGTGTTAGTTCATTTGAAGATAAATCAACTAATGCAAGCTAGAAAGAAGTTTTGAGTTTCGGAATGATTAACACTTATAACTTAATCATTCAACTTGGGAAAAGTTAAGCCTTGAGTCTTACACTTTAGCAGAAATGCTATTCAATGTAATTAGCCCTGGGTATTAAAACACCTAATGGATGTTACAGCTCCCTTTCATAGGTGGAAATGACTCATTTGGATTTGAATGGGCACGTTCAGATAGTAGAAAATAAACTATGAGGTTACTTCATAGTACAAAGAAAGAAAGGAATGGCGGCAAAAGAAGGTGTGGAGAATGTTGGGTAATGCCGTTTCTGCTGACCAAGTTGCACCAACATACTTCCAGATGATTGAATAAAGCAAGCATTCGGGGAGATAAGGCGCTGTGGAATTCCGTGGGGAGGAAGGCTGGCGGTGAAAACACAGACGGGCGTCCCTTGGTCCCACCAGCTCCCACACTGCTGGTGCCGGGCAGCGGGTGGTACAGAGCTCTGGGGCGCTGAGAAACTCCCCGCCTCTACACAAAGTTCATTAAATCCACCAAAAAAGCTGTTCGATGCCTCTTATCTGCACATGAATCAGGCAAGTATAGGTGTGGTACTAATTCACCTTTGGTTTCTCAGTAATTCGTCTTATAGAGATAGCAGAAACATCCATCCAGCCATTACCTATACCACTTATTCCCATATTTTATTATGCTTTACATATGGACAATTAAGATCACATATTCATTATGGTGTTACCATAATTTAGTTTAGTAACCTGCAGACGTTTTGAAACGTGATTATTTCGCGATTAGAAAGATAATTAGGGGTCAGTTTTGTAAGAGCCAAAGTGAATGTTTATGTTTTGTTTATGTTTTATGGTGGCACATATGTTCAGATTTGAGCTACACGTCAGGTGATTGCTTTTCTGTTTATCGTCATCTCTCAACCACTGTATTTTCCACACTATAATTCTGACCGGAATATAAATCGCACCAGCCGATATATCCATTATAAAGGAAAATAATCCATGAATATGGACTATAGTAGCATGGACATACAGGTATGTTAACTTGAATGAAAAGTTCAGATTATAATATATTTCTTGTACTACAGTGCCCTGTACATCATACATTCAAACAGAGGCATGTAGACAAACACACACCTCTGTATGCACACTAATGCAGTTCCACACCCCCTCGGCTAATTTGGGACTTCCCATTTGTCTCCTGATGTAATAGGATTACAGCTCATACACATACAAAAACAATAACACACACACACACACACACACACACGGACATAACTAGATCAAGCAGGATGAGTCCAATAGTGACGCTCACCTGGATGATCTTGTCCTGCGGCCGGAGGCCGGCTCTGGAGGCCGGAGAGTTGTCGTCCACGGCTCTGATGAACTGCCCCGGTTTGGACTTCTCGCTGTGCAAGTTGAAGCCGTAGCCAGTGGGGCCTTTCTTCAAGTGGCAGAGGCGAGGCCGCGGGCCTTCTCTCTCCTCCTGCACACACACATGCACAAGACAAATTAGCACGACCCATTCGGTTAACTTGGGTGATCAATTCTGGGCATGTTTCAAATGGAAGGGCAGCAGGAGGTGCAGAAAGTGGGATTGAGAGTGACACACAGATATTTTGCTTTTGAGCCAGTATTCGCTAATATAAAAGAGAATTCTTAATATAAGAAGCAATGAAAATAAGAAAACTTAATGAAGATATGCATAGTTATCTTCATAGTTTAAAGTTAGGCACTGAACACAGCTTAGTTTTTAAATGCTTTTTAGTGCTAGCACATTGAAAACTCTGTTTACATCAGCCATAACTGTCCTAATATCATTTGAAACGATAATTTGAAAAGATTGCTAAGGAGGGAAAATGCTAATGGGACTGAATGCTATAGTTCAATTATAAAAACTCAAAATAGATTTTGATTTCAAGTTTGCATATGTTACACAGTCTACTTAGATTTCTGGGACTAATAAAAAAAAAAACTGAAACACGGTTTATGCTAATTAAGGTTTTAGTTGAAATGTTATGCATTACTTCCAAAAATATGATAAAGAAATACAACAAGTCATCAAAGTTCAAATACAAATTGAAATTAAGCAACAGAAACAAATGGGGAACAGAGCAGATGTTTAAAAATAAGTGATGATGCCTCCTGTTAATGAACATGAACATCACTGTTTTGGGGTCTAACACTTCAAAATAGCCATTAAAAAGTCCACTAAGTCCAAACTAGTTTTATGTAGTTGAAGTAGAATGTTGCATCGTGGTCATAAAAACAGATAAAAATTTAATGACAATGATCAAACATGATTGGCTAAGAACTACTAATCTGAAACATGAAACTACTTTGCATGTTTTAGATTATGACTGTTATGCTCTTGTGATCTTTATGGTGTCAAAAGGCACAAAATCTGAATGGTTTTGATGGCACATATCTATTATGGTGAATCATTGCCAAGCTTAGACTTTCTCAAAATCAGTTACAGATTTTAACTTGGATTTTAAGGAAAGGAACACAGCAAAGAGTTTTACAAACACTGACATGGTCAAAACTGAGTTTAGGACAATGCATCCATCCATTGTCTATACTGCTTATTCCTTGTGGGGTCTTGTTGGGGCTGGCCAATCCCTGAAGATATTGGACAAGAGGCGAGGTACAGATCAGATGGATCACTAGTCCATCACAAAGCACAACTTTAGAACCAGGGATCACAAACTGACTCAACATGCAGTTTTGATTTAGGTCATTCTGTTGTAAGCGACAGGTAATGTAGATCAGACAGAACTGCACTTTATGTCCTGTAGACACGCTGTCCGTGCGATCAAATCCGGACATCTGCAATGTGAGAAACGTGCAGGATCTTCTGAAATGTTCCAGTATAATGAGATGAGATTAGTAACTGAATGAAACAGCGGCCATGCTGCTTTGCTTAATCAGCTTAATCTTGTAGTGCCCTGTGCTGGGATAAGTGTCTAAAGCTATGTTCAGGTGTAGGGGCCGCTCCTTTCCTTTTCACACTGCCACAGCAATACGAGTTTCGTTGTCCACTGGTTACTGGCGCCAGCTTTATTGTTATTACTAAGATTGGAATTGTTGCCCCATTGTGTTGTCATTTTACAGTGCCTCAAATTCTGTCTTTTGAACAACCCGTCATAAATCTAATTACAGATGAAGTCCGGCCTGGAGATTTTTTAGCATATGTACGCAAAAAAAAACAAAAAAACATTACTGCATTGGCATGTTCAAATCTGTGTACCGTATTTACATTAGAAAATGTTAGAAAATCCAATAGATGATTATTTATTTTAACCAGTATACAAAATGCAAGCTGTATTAAATCTAGGGTCAAAGAGGTCCAGGATAGTAAGTTGTTATGGGATAACAAAACGTAATCAGATATATCTCACTTATGAAATAATCACTCAAGTTTGGTTTGTTCCTATTCTGATTCCAACATTGTAAAGCAATCAACTTAACCTATTCTGCATGCATTACTTGAGACTTTTTCATTTTTGTCATCTTTTCTACATCGAAATGGTCAAAATTTTGTGACTGTAATTAATCAAAAATATTTTTTTTTCACCATCTCCACCCATGTTGTTTTCCACCTGTTAATAGCCCATTACAATCTGTGCATCCTCATCAGCTATCAGTGGTTATCTGTAAATGATTTCCTGCCAAGTGACTATTTGAGAACACCCACTGCAGCCTCAGCATTGTGGAAACAGTGGAACATTCTCCCGTGTCAACCAATCACAAAGTGGATTATGTATTTATCAGTGGATTTATATCAAATCAGGTTGGTTGATGATTGCTGGAAAACCCAGAATGAGTCACTGTGTGATACTGAGAGGACACGAGGTGTGGACGCAGCTGGACCTTTGGATCGAGTCGCACATTTATGGCAAAGCCCGCAACAGTTCGCGAAGATAAGGAAGATACGAGAAGCGAGGTTAACAGTGCACTGGTGGAATGTCTTGTGCTGCACTTAGATCGCCTCGCAGAAGCTTCTTCTGAACAGTCACAGTGAAAAGGAAACACGGGGTCTTTAAAATGTAAGCTTTTCTGCTTCAGAACGCAATTAAAGAAAAGTAATCTGACAGTTCTTAAATAAGTAGCATCACTTATTACTATTTTCATTAAACAAATACCAAATCAAAATGTAGAAGCAGTGTTAGACCAACTGCAACCAATGACTGAATACATTAGTATGTAGCATGATAACTTATTAACTGTAATAAGTTATGATCATCTGTTTAACATGATCAGTTTCTTATAACACTGCTTCAAAGTCAGGCTGATGTCTGGATTTCAACAGAACCATTGCAACACTATATTACTTTGCCCTCTTTAGATTTTTCGGTTTACATGTATTGCTAGACTTTGAATTATTTTATTGTTACATGGCATGTTCAGATGACACTTTGGCACATGGAAAAGATGATAGTGTACTATGTGACAGGTCCAAAACAAGCCAAAGTGATCAGCCTTGCAGCAGCATAATTAATAGTTGGTATGTTTGGGAGGATTTGTTTTATTGTTAATACTACTCTAACCTTGGTGATCTGTATGTTAGCCAAACATACAGACTTATGGAACATTAGAACAATATGTTCCATAAGTCTTTCTCTTTTAAGAGAAGGGAGCCTTTGTCCTACAACTCAAAACAAGTCTTACTTATTCAGTAGAGTCTGAAATGAAGCTCTTGGATTTCTGCAGTTTCTCTGGGCGTTCCGAACTTTTCGACTAGGAGTAAATTTACTGACAGGAATAATAGTGAAAAATATGTAGAATGATGGACAAATATTTTGTAAAATGGCTTCTTAAGATTGATGGGTACAACTTATATTTCTTATCATTCTTTGGCAAACTTTTATGGCATGAATTGTCATTGTCTCTACATAAAAGCTTTGAATTAAAGGAGTGTGGGCATATTCTTTAACAAGATAGGATGTAATCAGGTCTAAAATAATTCACTGGCAACTTTTGTTGTTTGTTTGTTGGCTAAGACATGATAAACATATTTAGTCATCCAAACCAGTTTACAAGGGCCCCCTTTTCCCCATTGCTCACAAAAGTATTTGTAACCAGTGTACCAAGAACATGTGCACATTATTCATCTCCATACAGATATAAAAAAAGTATCTGGCACTTGATCTAAGTGATGTGCAGGAGAATCACTGTTATCAACATCTATAAAATGTACTATAGATAGCTAACAAGCCTAAGTATGTTAAAGACCAAGTAGCAATCTGTGTCTCGGCCCTAATAACTTTACATTTAGAACAGACAGAGATAAAAAGGGTGAACTAAGAGGGTGCTGCGTTGGTTACAATCTCCTAAGTCAATGTCCCAACAATCCGTCAATCATAAAAATAGTCAAACGTCTAATTGCAGTGGACTGCTGTTACTTTTGCCATTGCACAGCGTGAATTCCTTTTTTTTTTTTTTTTTAAAGCTACCCAAATGTCCATTCGCTCCACAGGTAATGAGATGCCAACTTCTCTTATTAAGTAAATCTTCCATTAACACCAGTGTTGAT